GGAGATAATTACCATGCATGGTACCTGAAGAGGCAGGTAAAAAAAATGGGGCTATCATTATTTAAATCTGGAAAAACAAAGACACTGAATGATTTGCAAGTACATCTAAATTATTCAAATAGGTTAGAAGCGAAAGGGAAACATATTTTTCATTTCCTGCTTTCTCTACCCTGGGTTTAAATACTTTGGTTTTACATGTTTGTAGTTTTTTTAAAATAATTGCTATGAAAATGAAACTATTTCATTAAACAAAACATACCAAAATAGACTAAAACACTCAAGAAAGCAAACAAAGGAAACTTGGTGTACTTCTCCTGGAGACTTCCTCCTTTCCTTTCAACAGGGCAGCTAGAAAAGTAGAAACGTTGTTTGAACACTTCCCCTTTACCAAAATAGATAGACAAAAAGGAACCAATATATGGGCTGTTTTCAAATATATCTATTTATATTTCCTTTATAAAAACTATGTAGTAACACTAATGCTTACCAGGCAGTAACGACTTGCCAAACAATGAATGGAGTGATTTAAATTCATTAACTCACTTTATCCTTTCAACCCTGAGAAATAAGAATTGTTTTTATCATTGCCATTTTACAGATGAGGAAACTGATGCTGAGAGAGGATGAGTGTCTGCCTACTGCTAAGTAGCTTGTGTGTGATGCGGTTGTGATTCCACGCTAAGCAGTCAGGACTCCAGGCTGGAACCCTAAATCGTGATTTTCTACAACCATATTCCTACACAGCTTGCAAAGAAAAGAAAACAAGAATGAAATTAGGTTTGGATTTGAACATTAGATTTCACACAGCTGTTAAGAATTTACTAATTAAATAGCATAAAATTAAAAGTTTTCTTATTAGGGAGTTGCTGGAGGAAATAAAGTATAGTCAAATACAGTCCAATCTGGATGCACATGGTGTTCACAAAGGGGCACGTGGTACTTAGTCCATATTTAGTCAATATTTATTGTTGAATAAGTACCCATTTAAAGATGAAGAAACTGAGGCACAGAGAGGTTAAGTAACTTACCCAAAGTCACACAGATGGTAGTGGACCAGGAGATCGTGCAACATTCTCATCTGGGTAGAAGACAGAGGGGAGAGGAAGGGAAGTCTGTGGTTCCTGAGAGCAGAGGGGCCCTGGGACCCTTCTAGCTGTGCTTCCAGAAAGGTGGCAGGACCATAGAAAGGAAATTACACTAGGGTACTAGGCAGTTGGGACTTTAGGCAGCATCAAAAATGATTGAACTGCCCCATTTGGGTGGGCAAGAAAGTGGCAGAATAAGGATGAGAGATGCCTGGCATGAAGGCCACATACACAAGTACAAAGGGCAGTCTCCATGGCAACCTGTGTTGATCTATGAGTGGATCAAATGGCCACTCCTCCCCCAATTGGTTATTTGTTGCTTTGTTTTCCTCCAACCAAAGAGAATGAGTTATAAAGAAGAAAATTATTACAGAAAATGAGGACAGTGTTATTTCTTGTATACCTTTTTTTTTTTTTTTTTTTACTGAGGCAGTCTCTTATCATAGACAGACAACATTACGTAGGGAGAGAATATTGGATGTGTCATCAGAAGGCCTAGGCTTTAGACTAAGTTTGTCCTGTCCAAAATTCCAGGTCAATTTATCTAATGTCCCTGTGTCTCTGTTTCCTTATCTATAAAGTGGAGATTAAAGATGATTGGGGTTACCATGAGGAATAAATTTTTTTTTTTTTTTAAATATAAGCTAAGACTCACTGGAAAAACAACTCACTAAAAGATAATAAATATATGTACAGATCCTGTTTCATTTGCATTTGATTTTGACTTGCATATATTCGTTTGGTGGGTGTGCCTGCTTAATTAATTTTTTTACAAACTAACATTTATATTTACTTTCGCTTCTTGTGTTTATAATAAATGGATGTAAACACAGTTTTCGACGTTAAAAGCACGTTAGAAATAAGTATTATTACATAATTGATAGGTTTCTATTGCTTACTATGGATGTAACATAATGTATGGGTGTAATTTTCTGGAAGCTGAAAGCCAGACTGCCATTAAAATACTTCAGGAATAATCCACAGGCTCCATAGTATACTGCATCTTTTCACTGAGCTATCATAAATTATAACTGGAATTAACTCTTGTACTAGGAGTGAAATAATAAATTTCTTAATACTGAAAGGCATTTGCTATTAATTTGTATAGGGATTATCCATAAGATGCATTTGAATCTTCCACGCCAGATTAGCTTTAAACAATGTGGTTTTTCTGAGAAATGAGCGTAAATGAAATAAACTAGCAGCAATGAGAAAGAGTCCTTGTAAAAATGTTAATTGTGGGGAAATATAAATTATGATCATTCACTCATCAAATATTAGTGCCTACTACATGCCCAGCACTCTTCCCTGAACTGAGGACAGTCAACAAAACAATGAAGTGCCATTCCTTAGAGCTTCCGTTCTAGCGGGAGAGATTGAAAACAAACAAATAAAGTATACTCTGTTCTCATAAAGCAGCCCTGGTTGCACAGTGGTTAAGCACTTAGCTGCTAATTGAAAGGCTGGCAGTTTGAACTCATTTGCTGCTCTGCTGGAGAAAGATGTGGCAGTCTGCTTCTGTAAAGGTGGTTGTTGTTAGGTGCTGTCAAGTCGGTTGAGACTCATAGCAACCCCACGCACAACAGAATGAAACACTGCCCAGTTGGGCACCATCCGCACAATCTCTGAGCCCATTGTTGCAGCCACTGGGTCAATCCATCTCTTTGAGGATCTTCCTCTTTTTCGCTAACCCTCTACTTTATCAGGCATGAAGTCTTTCTCCCAGGACTGGTCCCTCCTGATAACATGTCCAAAGTAAGCATGACAAAGCCTCACTATCCTTGCTTCTAAGGAGCATTCTGGCTGTACTTCTTCCAAGACAGATTTGTTTGTTCTTCTGTCCATGGTATATTCAATATCCTTCACCAACACTATAATTTAATTCAAAGGCATCAATTCTTCTTTGGTTTTTCTTATTCACTGTATGGCCTCTGCATGCATATGAAGAGATTGAAAATATCATGGCTTGGGTCAGGCGCACCTTAGTCCTTAAAGTGACATCTTTGCTTTTTAACAGTTTAAAGAGATCTTTTGCAGCAGATTTGCCAAATGCAATATGTCATTTGATTTCTTGACTGCTGCTTCCATGTGCATTGATTGTGGATCCAAGTAAAATGAAATCCTTGACAACTTCAGTCTTTTCTCCATTCATCATGATGTTGCTTATTGGTCCAGTTGTGAGAATTTTTGCTTTCTTTATGTTGAGGCGTAATCCATACTGAAGGCTATAGACTTTGATCTTCATCAGTAAGTGCTTCAAGTCCTCTTCACTTTCAGCAAGCAAGGTTGTGTCATCTGCATAATACAGGTCGTTAATGAGTCTTCCTCCAGTTCTGATGCTGTGATCTTCATATAGTTTGGCTTCTCGGATTATTTGCTCAGTATGTAGATTGAATAAGTACGGTGAAAGGATACAACCCTGATGCACACCTTCCCTGATTTTAAACCATGCAGTATCCCCTTTTCTGTTTGAGGGACTGCCTCTTGGTCTATGTACAGGCTCCACATGAGCACAATTAAGTGTTCTGGAATTTCTATCCTTTGCAATGTTACCATGACTTGTTATGATCCACTCAGTTGAATGCCTTTGCATAGTCTGGGAAGTAGGACCTGGTGATCTATCTCAGAAAAAATTGACTAGTAAAACCTTACGGATAACAGCAGAACATTGTCTCATACGGTGCCAGAAGATGAGCCCCTCAGGTTGAAAGGCACTCAAAATATGATTGGGGAAGAGGTGCTTCCTCAAAGTAGAGTCAACCTTAATGAAATGGTTGAGGTAAAGCTTTTGGGACCTTCGTTTGCTGATGTGGCACTACTTAGAATGAGAAAAAACAGCTGCAAACATCATTAGCAATCGGAATGTGAATGTAGGAGGTATGAATCATGGATAATTGGACGTCGTCAAAAATGAAATGGAATGCATAAATATTGATATCCTAGGCATTAGTGAACTGAAATGGACTGGTGTTGGCCGTTTTGAATCAGCCAATCATATGATCTATTATGCCAGGAATGACAAATTGAAGAGGAATGGAGTCACATTCATCGTCATAAAGAACATTTCAAGATCTATCCTGAAGTACAACACAGTCAGTGATAGGATAATATCCATACATCTAAGAAGGAAGACCAGTTAATACAACTATTCCTCAAATTCACGCACCAACCACTAATGCCAAAGATGAAACTGAAGATTTTTACCAACTTCTGCAGTCTGAAATTGATCAAACATGCAATCAAGATCCATTGATAGTTACTGGGGATTTGTAAAGATTACAGTTTTGGAAGCCCTATGGGCCAGTTCTACTCTGTTCTATAGGGTTGCTATGAGTCGGAATCCACTTGATACTTTGATGAAGGAATGTGCAGCAGGTAAAAGATGAGACTGGTGGAGGGCTTCCAGTGAGGAGGTGGTCAGGCAAGATTTCTCTGAGAAGCCCTAATGAGCTAGGAAGCAAGCCATGTGTGTATCTGTGAGGAAGATTCAATTGTACACAGGTTTTTCATTCTCTAGGAGCCTATGGTGTAAGATTTAAAAAATAAATCAACATGTAGCAATAGGGGCACATAAGCGCCTATAACTTTGACTTTACCAACTGTATACAAATATATTGGAGCCCTGGTGGCACAGTGGTTAAGAGCTCAGCTGCTAACCAAAAAAGTCGGCAGTTCGAATCCACCATCCGCTCCTTGGAAACTCTATGGGGCAGTTCTACTCTGTCCTACAGGGTCACTATGAGTTGAAATCGACTCAATGGCAACAGGTATGCAAATGTATTAGGTTTTTTATACACAAAGATCCTATAAAATGCCAAGAATAACCAGAAGTCTTGGCAGGCTTAACCTGTTCAGCACATATATTTCATCACAGCGAATGGAGGAAGAGACGTAAACGGAAGTAAGTCATCTCTTCTCTCGTTGGCTTATGACTGGCTATCACATAGTCATATAAACCGAAGTGCAGAGATATTCTAGTGTAGAAGACACCAGAGACTGCAGAAATACAGCACAAGTAAGTGATATTATTGAACTCCACAAAGATAAGAAATGAGATTCTTCACTTTTTACTTTGGGGTTTCATTTTTATTACTGTCATGTCCTATGTGTGACTGAGACAATGTTTTGTGACCTATTTTCAGCATTGCCCTCTAACCTTGTCTCAACTGGAGCCTCTTATGTCTGTGACTGTGTAGAAATCAAATGGTAATTTCTAAGGGGAATATAGGTATAGGAGATTTTAAAAGATTCCTTCAAGTGGATTTTAACTTAGAAACCATAGTCAACGCTGGAGGAAAAATTCTGTCTAGGATTCGTGAATTCTTCTAGAATTTTCCCAAGTGATTTTTCAATGTGTGACACAGTAGGGAATTTCATTTCACAGTTCTTCACTTTCTTTTTTAATTTAAAGCTCAGGAATTTTATTGGTAATATTTTCTATAATTTTAAGACACATTTTGCTGACGCATCTCCATCTTTTGCCCACAAATCCATCTAACATCATATGGTTTCAGAGATAGTTTAAGAAATTCACCCTGGATAGGGAATCTGAACTCACAGTTCCCAAAGGATGTTTTTAATAATGCCTCTTGTTTTGGCTTTAATGAGAGGAACCATTTAAAATAATATTTAGTTGGTCTTTAAACGGGAAAATATAGATCCAGCTTGCCAATTCAAATTTTAATATGCAGTGTTTCACTGAAATCTCTCAGTTAACAAAATTCCTCAGTTAACAAAAGATTCTCATATTTCTTCTACAAATATATTATCCTACAATTTAACCTGGTAACTTTTCCAGAACTGAACTAGAGGTGCCCGGGGACACTGAAATGAGGGAAACCAGCATTCTCTACCATTCGCTGTTAGCGTGTAGTGAGGTGCTGTTATTTAATGTCAATATGTGCAAGAGGTTCCAACGTAAACAATAGCATTTCACGTGATTGCTGCCTGAATCCAAATTTCCCGTTTCAAAGCATCACAGTCTATACAGTGGGAGTGCAGGCATTATGCTCTGTGCCAAGACATTTTTTATAGGTTTATTACTGGTCAAGTTACAATGTAGCAAAGAACTGTTGGCAAATTCACAAATAATCTTTGTCTTTATATACTTTAAATTCACAAGTTGTTGCACTATTACTTGAGATATATATATATATATGAAACTGTGTCTGGCATTCCTAAGTATGTTTGAAGTTCCTGATGTCTTTTATTTAAGTGTAAGAGTTCAAGTTGGCCAATGCTCTCATGAATAAAATAAACCAGGATAAACAGTATTTAGGTTTTAAATTGAGTTGTAAAATGGTTAATACTTATCTCATTTTTAAAGTTTTATATCCATTAAAATTATTTATGAAATTCTACCCCTTTTAACAGTTACCTGTTAAATCTTTATTAAATGTGTAACAAATCAATTGGTTATTAGCCTCCTTTGCTAGAGAGTTAAGTTTGGATTTTTGTCACCTTTCTGGCACAGAGACTAGAATATTTGAGATTATTCTTTACTGTGCTTGTACGGCAATCTACAGAATAGAATCTTGGCTTAGTTAAAATTAAATAGATTTTATCACAGTAGTTTGTAACTTATCAACAACCAGGTTAAAATTGCCTCTGGGATTTAATTCTGCATTTTTTTTTTTTAAAATCAGCTAAAATATATCCGTGCTAGATAGTGTAAAAAGAGCTACAAACCTAGGAAACAGAAAGTACCAAGACAGACTTCAAAAACACTACTATTTCCCATGTAAAGCATTTATCACATGTTAAGAGCTAAATCTTCTGCTTTTAATGACTACCTTCATACGAGTTTATGTATTAAAGTTTCTATCCAAGAAGTTTATATATTAAGGTTTCTATCCAGGATATTTATTATTCATCCATTCATATGTTCTTTGAGAAACCGCATTTTTTTACTGTTTGAACACAATTCTAGATAGGGTTCTCATCTCTCTGCTGAATAAGGAACTTTACGGGACTTTCTTTGAAGTGGAAGGAAGCCAGCGGTTAGTTTTAGGAGTAAAGCAGATCTTTAAGCACGCTCTATTTGTTAACTTCCTGTCTCTATCATTTCTGGAAATATAGGCAGCTTTCATGCATACTCCACTTAAGATTCTTAACATATAATGGCAATGTAAGGATTCAGAAATGAAGCTAACAGAAAATAAGAGTCCAGCATGACATTGGAGTTTTTCTAGGCCAGTCAAATCATATTTAGGTCTATACTCCATCTGGATATTATTTCTGTTTTTGATGTAAAGTTGGAGTCTAATAATGTGTATTTTCCTCTTTTGTTTCGGAACCATTTTAGTCCAGTTTCCTTATATCCCCGCTGTGAAGTCACTTCTTTCTATGTGTGTGTGGTTCTAGTGTGAGACTCTATACCACGTTAGGTCTAAGCTGGCACCAGTATTACATTATCTTAATTACAAGCCTTTTCATAGAAGTCTTGCTAGAGGTTTGTATATTAGACCTTACTTTATTTTATAGAAAAACCTGGGAGGCTCTGGTTTAAGCAGTGAATTCCTTTAGTCTTCCATCTTGTATGGAGTACTTTCACTCTCCTTTCTTTTGAAGGAGCTAAACTCCTGACTGATCATTGTCTACCCCGAAACTGGGGTCCTGCTCACTGCATTTTGTTTCTGTTCATTTTGGTCCAGGTGATGTTAATCTTACTTTTAAATCCAACTATATATTTTTCATTTTTCTCAGTCTATGTTTTATTTTTCATTTTTAATATGTCTTTCAGCAGGGTGGGTTTATAAAAAATACGATTTTTAGGATCTAAGTCCAATCAAATCATACAAACCTGGTGTCTTAGTTATCTAGTGCTGCTCTAACAGAAATACCACACATGGATGGCTTGAACAAACAGAAGTTTATTCTTTCACAGTTTAGGAGGCTACAAGTCTGAATTCAGGGTGCCAGCTCCAAGGGAAGGCTTTCTGTCTCTGTCAGATCTGGAAGAAGGTCCTTGTCATCAACCTTCCCCTGGTCTAGGAGCTTCTCAGTGCAGTGACCTGGGTCCAAAGGATGCACTCGCTCCACACTTCTTTCTTGGTGGTAGGAGGTCCCCCTGTGCCTCAGACAGCACCCACCCCCACGCCTAGGACAAGCCTCCCTGCGCCTTGGGCAGGACCCCGTGCTTCCTCTGGGCCTCTTACTCTCAGCTGGGGTTTCTGCTGCTAGCTGAGACAGGGGGTCTGCTTGTGGCCTCAGCTGCCTCTGGTTCTGTTGCAGCCCCATGCCTGTTACAGTTCTCAGCCCACTTCTCTCAGACTGCTCTGCTGCCCCACTTCTCCACTCAGCAAACTCTGGCTTCTGCTTCTTCTGGTCTCTGCTGCTATTTTCTCCCAGCTCTGCCTTTTACCAGGTCCAGGGATTCTGCTGTTACCGGTGCCTGTCCCTTCAAATAAATCTTCCAATCTCTTATACCCCGGCTGTTGTCTCCACCCTGGAAGAAGGATTCGGGGGAGGGGGTGTTCTTCAGCACAGAACTTCCATGTACCCAGGGAACATGCTTATCCCTCCTTGGAGAGCCCAGTGTTCAAATTCTCCAGCCCAGGAAGCTCCTAGACCAGGGGAAGAATGATGACAAGGGCCTTCCCCTAGATCAACAGAGAGAGAAAGCCTTCCCCTGGAGCTAGCACCCTGAATTTGGACTTCTAGCTTCCTAAACTGCGAGAGAATAAATTTCTCTTTGTAAAGTCATCCACTTGTGGTATTTCTGTTATAGCAGCACTAGATAACTAAGACCAAGTTTGGTACCAGGAGTGGGATCTGCTCTAACAGACACCTTAAATGTGGAAGTGATTTGAAACTGTGAATGGATAGAGGCTGGAAGAGTTTTAAGGTGACTAATAGTAAAAGCCTAGGTTGCCTTGAAAAGATTGTTGGTGGAATTATGACACCAAAGACAATTCTGGTGAGGACTCAGAAGGAAGTGAGGAGAGCTGTAACACTGGAGACTGAGCAGATGGCAAAAGGAATGGCAGGTAAGCTGCTAGCTCAAGTCCCAAGAACTGGAGGTCAGATGAACAGGAGCCAGCTGCAGGATCTAGAGCAAGCAAAAGCCAGCAAACCTTGCCAGAAAATGCACCTGTATTGGATGCAAGCCACACCCCCAAGAAAACTCCCTTTTAACTGATTGGCTGTGCACAACAGATCTCATCATGGAGGTGATCACATTATATCAGATCTCATTATGGAGGTGATTATACCATTAAAAAGCCTAACTACATCATAACTGCCAAACCACTGAGGATCATGGCCCAACCAAGTTGACACATAACCTAAACCATCATACTTGGTCTGTACATTCCACTAAGTGGGAACCATGTTTTTCCTTTCTTCCTTCTTCCCTCCCTCTTTTCCTCCTTCCCTTCATTTCTTTCATCTATTTTCCTTCCCTTGTTTTTGAACAGTAATATGTTCAGGCACTGTGTTGGTACTTTAAACACACATTATATTCATTAACATTTTATAGGTGAGAAAACTAACGCTCAAAACAGGTGACTTGCCCAAGGCCATCCAAATAGACAGTGGCAGAGGTGACTCCAAAACCACACAGTCCCTTCTACCATTCATGAGCCCATGAGCTTATTCTTCACTGCACCCCTTGGGGTGGGTGGGAATACATTTTACCATCATCCTTTTAGTCCATCATTCTTATGAGATAAAGCCTTTAGCAAAATGGGATATTGTTACAGAAATACATTGCTGAGTGCAATAAGAGGAAATTTTTTTTTCTTCTAGATGGTATTTTCTGTACTTATTTTGGTCATTTATTTCAAATTTCCTTATCCGTTTTCATTGGCCATAGAAATATTTACTTGGAATTCCTTCTTTTGTTTTTACGCAAAAGCTTTATAAAATATAGAAGGATTTTTAAAATCAGTTAATGTTTCCAACTTTATTTTTCATTGTTATAAAAATGTGCACATATAACCTGAAAAATAAAAGTCTTCAAGTTTGGAAATTTGTGGCTATAGAAATCAAGAAAGCTGTTTTCTGCAACGTAAG